TAGACTGGTGAGATACTCACTGGTGAGATATTCAAAGCAAGCAACACCTCCATTTTACAGATGAGGAAACAGAGGGAGAGACGTGGGATGGTTCTTCCCCAGGTTCAGAGCTGTGGCTTAAGGGCAGTGTCCTTCCTCTTGGAGGGTCACTCTGGACAGGAGACGAGTGTTCGTGACATCACATTCAGCAGAGAAGTCACTCAGCTTTTGATGTTTTGGGTTCACAGAGGTGGGGAAAGGCCAGATCCTGACCTTAAGGGGCTGGCAGTCTAGCTCATGGGGGTCTCCCCTTGCCACAGGCTGTTGAGGCGGCAGCGTTGGTCCCAAGAAGGAAAGTCAGAAGGGTGAAATGCAGACTTCCCATGACACTGCCCCACCCCGTGTTTTGGAAAAGCTGGAGGAAGAGATAGGTTATACAAAGAGAAGCGTGGATGCTCTGGAGAATTCTGTGATTGAGAGAGACCTTTAAGCTGTTTTTAGGTGTGAAAATGGAAGCCAGAGAAGAGTGGTATGAAGTACATTCATAATGTTGAGCGGCCGTCACCACCATCCGTCTCCATAACTCTTTTCATCTGGCAAAACTGAAACTCTATACGCATTAAACAATAACTCCCCATTCCCCCCTCCCCTTAGCCCCTGACATCCACCATTTTACTTTATCTCTAAACTATAATTTTTTTAAATCAGGGGAAGTGGTCACTAACACACCAGCAGAATACTGAAGCGAAATGAATTTTTTTTAAACTATGTTTTCGTCTGTGTGTTTCTCTAAGGGTAATAATGAATATTTAGTCTTAATTTGTTCTAAGTGTTCTTCTTTTCACTTGGTCTAGAGCCATGATTCAAGGGCACTTTATTTTGTTTTTTAAAATTCTGTGTTCTAAGTGGATTCTTTCTGAAAATGATTAGATGTCGTGTGACCCTTTCTTCATAGTAGCTGGGTTTTCCCATTTTAGGTGATATCCTGGGGCTGTGGGGATTCACTTTTCTCTGTATTATTGTATTATTTCTGAAGCACTAACCCTTGGCTCAGCCTGGCATATAAACATTCCTTGACTCTCCTGTGTTCATCTTTCTCTTCTTTTTGCAGAGCCCCTTTTTCCATCACCCTATTTGTTTTGCACTTGATCAGGTCTTAGGCTTCATGGTGGAATCGGTCCCTTGGCCCAGGTGGCTGCTTAAACAGTAAGGGAGGAACCAGCTGTTTCTAGAAAACAAAACAGAACATGGGCTCATATGTGTGCATCTTCTCCCCAGTCCCATACTGGCTCCTCCCCCACAGTGTTCATGAGTTTGGCAGACATTTGCTGCCTGCCTGTCAGGTGCCAGGCCCTGTGCTGGCTTATGAAGATTCCAAGTTGAGTAATTCACAGTCCCTGCCTTCAAGGAACTTTGAGCCTAGTGAGGTGAGACAGATAAACATATAATAACTTGATAGAGGTACAGTCAGAGTAGGGTGGTCAGGGCACTTTGGGAGTAATGAGGGGGTTAGTTCTACTGGAGGTGGGCGTGACATGTCAGAAAAGAGTTCCTCCAGGAGGTGACGCTTGTGCTGAGCCCTGAAACTGACTGTATTCCTGGCAGAGAAGAGCGATCAGGTTTATTGGAGTGTCAGTTTGTTGAGGAGGGAGACAGGTGGCTTACAGGAATG